CGCAATCCCGAGTCGCAAAACCATGGGCGGCTTTTCTGCTGTTACCCCTTCTAGGGTCCAAAGAAGACGTCATCTGGTGTATGCATTCGCTCACATGCTGCAGTATACTTTTCCAATGCTCATACTTACATCCTTCTTCTGAACCAACAGAAAATCGAGAAACATGCCACTTCTGCGACAACCTCAACTGGCAAGGATAATGTATTACCATTCCAAGCTGCCAACCGCGCGTCCTCCCTGGACTTTTCACACGAGACATACTCAACACAGACTGCACCTCGCGGAAGGATGCTGGTACTTGCTTCATCAGAAGCTCTTATCTCTGCTTTCATGTTCTTCCACTACAGAGACCCAGCTGCGCTGATCGATTGGGCGATCGCACGACAGGCCTTCAATGGATGCATGATCCTTCTCTTGGATGCATTAGAATGCCGAACCTTTACCACTGGCGCATTCAAAGCAGAACAAGCCTTCGTTGTCTTCAAGGAACTATACGAGAACAGCGTCCACGAGCTTGCAGGGTTGGCTGTAGAGAAGCTCAGTCTTTGCTTGCAGGAGTTGCACAGGCTAGTAACACTGTCGTCCGACGTCCAATCGCGTGGAGAGAGGCATACGGCTATGCAAGGGGCGCGGCACAACGAAGCAACACGAGCTTCGGCTGTGTCTGACACAGTGATGGGTCACACTGGAATGTTTTTACTCGAGGACATGAGCCAACAAACTGCCGCGAACGAAGTCTTTTCCCCGATGGCTTGGAACAATCCCGATATCGCCACCCAGACCGAAGAATATCGTCATGCAGGTCTACATCGCGGAGGTACATATAAGAAAGAAGCAACATCACCCAAGGATCATATCGCCAACGCTCGATACACAGACGGCATGCAGGGCTTGCGCAGATCGACCACGTTGCGATCAGCGTCCACACGATACGCGACTCTGTCTGAGGACGATCACATGCAGCCACATGGTTACACTGCTCCAACTTCGCCTGCAGACTTTTCAACGCTGCATGATCATCAGCTGAAGAACACGATAGATCATCGTGGGTGGCAAACGTCCCGAGGAGATGAGAGTAGCCGTCCGCTTCACTTATATACCCAATTCCAATAAGTCGCAGCATCAGAAGACCCGCAGCACGACGTGGTTTGGCATCATGATTGGAGTCATGATGCACCCGGAGTAACTCAAGAGCGCAGGGCCCAATCCTCCGCATGGCCACAAAGGCATAACTCATGTCCCGCCGTGCCTCCAGTCAACATTGATCCGCCAATTCTCAGGCCAGCTTTCTCCTCACCAGATGATATCGACAGACCCACAGTAGCGCGAAAGTCGCTAAACGCGCCCATCACCTCAGCTGAGCTGACATCTTTCAACACATCGCAAAGCTTTCCCCAAGTTGCAGAGACGAACCCATGCGCCCCTTTCACTCCCCGGCGACCAGCACCATTACAGATGTCAAGCATTGCGGAGATTACACCAAGCTTCTCATCGACCGTTCTGGGAGGGTTTTATGGACAACAAGGGCAGATCAGATCACAGGTCGTGACATACCCGTCAACTGCCGCTGCGTCGTCATCAATTACGCCTATGACTGAGAACATGAATATGAACGACTGGAATAGATACACAGGCAGCGAAGGCCTGGAGTAGGATATCATTTGATCGGTACAGCACTGCCTTGACCAAATTGCCAAGGGGCTGGCCGCTTGTTGATGAGATGTATATTTGGTATCGGATATGAAGCTTTTCAGCTCCACATCATAGCGAGTCAGAGTGAAAGATATTACTTTGCCTTAGTCACACACATCCAGTTGCCTGGTTCGGCATAGAATCATGTGTGCCAGCAGACAAGATTACTGAACCAAGATCATTGACATTGTTCTCCATGTTTCCCCATTTCCCTCTTCCAGCTTAGCTGAGTACCCGACACTTCGGTTTAGATAGCACGTTGACGTGAAGCCACCTGGGAATATTTGTCAGAAGCAACCCCATAGTCTGGGTTCGACGGCTGCTGCCGATATTCGCTGGAAGCCGCGCGAGGCTGGATGTACGACTGGCTGGTATGCAACCACCGCATTGGTAGTGTGTGAGAAATCTGGCTCAGATAATCAAGATGACAACCTGTGAGTGAGAGGATGATCCCGTGCTGCGTGGACCCATTACGCCACAGCCCGCCACGGCTTTACCTGACATCCACACTCTCACAGGCATACATTCTCCCGTCTCCACTTCGCCAATCACAAGTTACTCAACCCTCGTAAAAAACAGCATGGACACCACACGCTAGTCAGGCAATCCCGATAGTCTGGAGTGACAGGCTGTCGGAACACGTCTTCAGGATCGAGGCCCCCAGAGCCGGAACCGCAGTCTCGATATCGGTGAGGTACGCGCGAATGCTACGTCGCACAGCAGCCAACCAGCCGACAGCCACACGCAGCAAAGCGCTCAACGCCGATAATTGCACATGCTGCAGGGCGCCGTCGATAACGTCGCCGATCTCCACTGCTTCGAGCCGCGAAGGCGAGTATGTTGTTCCGAGCATTGGTTTCGCGCTCATCCTGATCGACGGAGGACTTGCTCTGGGACCAGATTCGCGAGCTGCGGTGGCGTGGAGACATGACTCGAGTCAACACGTGCAACGTTGAGCCTCACTCTTTGGTGATCTGCGTTGTGCGCGTGGATGCTGGGATGTGTTGGTGTTGACACCTCGTGGTTTGCGCTGATCTTTTGGTGGTGGCGAGTCGAGAAACGCTTTTCTCAGCTTTCACCGGGTGTTTGCATTTGCAACGCAGTGCAACGCAATCGCGTCGTCATAGAAGGTAATGAGATCTTTTGCTGCAGGTGTGGTGTCTACCGGGATGTCTGCACGCGCTGACAGTACGCCTCTTGGACTGCTTTTTTTCTCCTGCATTCCACATACACTGGTCGAGCCGGAAGCGGTAATCCATACATGGACGCGAGGAAATTTCGCCGTCTCGTGCCAATGGTTCAGTACGATGCTAGGGCGTACTTACATGATCGTGAACTCCGTAGTGTGTCTCTATCTCGACTGGTCGGTGTAGGCCATGTTGAAGCGGGAGAGGTAAAGTAACACGGCGTTTGTGTGCTGATCTGGCCTGATGACTGCATAGTGTATGTGCAGATATCTAGCTAGTGTAGCCAAGACCTCTTCACGATTATACATGTGCAGAATCTGGTACACGGGCGCGTATGTCGCTAGTATGTGTGAGTCTGGACAGGTCGGATACCTCAGAATAACATGGTCGATGATAGCGTAGGCCCAAGTCTGCGTCGAATGGGTAGCTTCCTTGCACTCTTACCCGCAGCAACTCGAACCAAAACCAGGCACACCGCCCACAATGAAGTCGAAGTACTGTTTGTCGAAACTGTGAGGTATGCCTTGAACGATTGTGTTGAGCATCACGAATACACTTCGATGTTACAGCGGTCCTCAAGCGACGGGTAACTTGGTCCCCACTTCCCTGCGCTTCAAAGACTGTACGTAGAAACTGTGTCGCATTCCTAGGTAGAACAGAAAGATAGAGCACCCTGATATTCCCGTGCTGTAAAGCAGTCACAGCACAGACGCGAAAAGTTTGTGGGCGCATGCCGCTCATCGAGACATAAAGGTGATGGATGGATTGCCGTTCACCGTGAACGTTTTGGCAAGGCTGAGCTGGTGCCTAATCGTCGCAAGAACGCGGGAAGGATCGGAGTAAGCACAACACCTGATGCTGTTGGTCGGCTGTCCGACAGTGCCGATGGGGCTTCTCCTCGTCAAAGAGAGTATTTATAAAACCATGTTCTATCGTAATAACGATGGTAGTTAGAGTGCGCACGTCCGATCCGATTTGCCCGTAAGATAGAATACCACGGCACGCCTATTTACCGAGTGTACATCACAGGATAGCCCATCATATCATACACAGCTATGAGCATAGAAGAGCATGGAACTACCACTCACGGAGAAGATACCCGCGAATGTCGATACCCGTTAGGAAATGATACCTCAGATACACTGACGCTTCCCGACGGGCGCAAGCTGGGTTACGCACAGTACGGGTCGCCTACTGGTCGTGCCATCTTCTATCACCACGGACTTCCAGGGTCGCGCATCGAAGCGGCTTCGTACCAGGATATCGCTCTTGAGTTAGGTTTACGGATAATCGCGGTCGATAGGCCTGGAATTGGGTTGAGCACGCCATATCCCCAGCGAACATTGCTGGATTGCCCAAGAGACGTACAACGTCTCGTTGACCATCTGCAACTCGAGAGCTACTCCGTGCTGGGCGCATCTGGAGGAGGCCCCTATACTCTTGCATGTGCAGCAGCACTCCCTGCTTCAAAGCTCAAATGTGTGTCCGTTGTATGTGGGGTCGGACCAATGGACATCGGCATGAAGGGAGCAGACTTTGAGCACCAGATTGGCTTCCCGTACGCATGGAGGTACGCGCCTAGCTTCCTCATCAAATGGTTCTTCAGCCGGGATGCTTTCGGGCGCATGGATCTGAGCGACGAGCAGCGTTTACAACGTGTGCTAGACCCCTCAAAGCTCGCCTCAATCAAGGATCCGAGGGATCGTGAGATCATGGCAGATGAGGATCTCATCCGCCTGATATTACGATCAACTCGTGAAGCGAGAGCGCAGGGGTTCGACGGTATAGCGTTGGATGGGCGAACGATATGTAGTGACTGGGGTTTCCGGGTCGAGGACATCAGGAAGGATCTGCCGGTGCAGTTGTGGTACGGCAAGGATGACTGTTTCGTGCCTGCCCATCATGGAATGCAGATTGCGGCGAGGCTGGGCGGTGACAATGGAAATGTCGTTTTGAGGGTGGAGGATGATACGCATACGACCATCTCGCAGAGGTGGAAGAGGGCGCAGCTTGAAACTATTGCTGCCGTGATGCAGGGGTGAGGCCCCGGTGGTGCCAAGCCCGTGCTGCCTCGGCTGACCCCACTCTAGCCTTGCACCTCGGATTATCATGAATCTACACTCAATCATCAACACCATGTTCTTCGTCCCGGACGTTCCAACCTGTCCTTCTCACCAAACTCGCTCGTCCGCCTTGCTTGCGGGTTCTCTTCTCTTTCATTTGTGTACCTTCAATTTTCTGTTTCTGCGCCGCATTCTTTTCCTTGGGCTTCATGAGCCCGTAGTGCTCGAACCATGATCTTACATACTCCCAAACATCGGTGGCCACTGCCCAAGGCCTTCTCCCGTACACCAATCCGAGTGCGACCACAACGCAAACGGGTATGCCGATAGCCCAGAGATGCCAAAACTTTGGCCTCCCAGGGCGAAAGTCGTCCCCCATGCTGAAGATACCAGCAAGCAGGGTAAGCGGGAAGACGATGGATGCGAACAAGCTGAGACGGAGGCCGAACTCGCCGTCTGAGACGCCTCTGAACGCCGCCCGAAGATTTGCGAGATCGTTTGAGACAGAGTTCAAGGCTTCTGCACGATCGCGTAAAGGCTGCATCCTTGTGTGTATTGTAAGGAAGTCTTTTTGCGCGTCTCGGATCGCCAGGGATGCATTCGCGTCGACACCTTCGCAGCCCAATTGCACGCCTAGGCGTTCGAGGTTGAGGTACATTGCACGCCAGAAGTGGTTCAGATGTCGACGCATGTAGTTGATGTCCTTGGCGATCTCGTTGATCTTCAGTAGGTCTAGCTTCCATTTCTGTTTACTCAAATTGTCGTCGATTTGAGCTTGATAGTCATCCGAGAACCATTCACCCCTGGCGATGGTCGTATTCATAAGCTCAAGTTGGTTGACCCAGTGTTGAGCGACATGTTTTAGGAGGTAGTATGCTGCGTTGGACGATTTCTCGTTCGTCTCCTGGATCAGCTCGGGAGTAGCAAGCTTGGTCCAGTAGAACACCATTTCATCCATAGCACTGGTGAGGTTTCGCTTCTCCCGGAAAACTGGAAAGTTCACCTCTTTTGTCCCCAAACCGACTTCGGAGAACATCAGTGGGGCCAATGTGGAACATCCGTTATGGTACGGCCAGCTCTGATGTGAAGTCTCCTGGAGGGCATGGGATGCGCCCCAGTCTTGAGCTCGCCAGAGTGCTGACCTGCTGTCAAACGGCTCTCCGGCTTGTAGAATCAAGCAGTCATCCAAGGTTTTTCGGGTATTGCTGTCGAGTTTGATATCGCCCACCATCTCACACTTGCTCCCTGCCTTCCCCGCCGTCGATGAATCATCCGCCAACTTTATCGATGATTCTTTGCCTGTCGCAGCAAACGCAGGGTCAACCAAAAGAACCGCTAGAGCCAGCGCGAGTTAGCCACAGTTCAAGAGGCGAGGTCGACACGAGAAGCTTACCATCCCATCCCAAGCCATCCGGTTTCCCGTCCGGCAGAAAGTTCTGCGATGTCCAGAACGACGCGCACCGTCTTACGAAAGCATGCCTTCGGTCAGGCTTGCCTAACGAAGGTATGTCGATATCCTTCCACCTTTCGTACCTCCGGCGATTCACAGCAAACGAGGTCTGTAAGCTCAGAACGTCTATCTTATCGGGATAGAGCAAAGTGCGCAGCTCGTAATAGCGCAAAGTGAATGACTGTCCCGGCACTGACATCGATGGCAATCCTCTATGGGGGATGGACCAGGAGTCAGTGAAATTCCAGGTATTCATCTGTTCGCTGAAAACCAGAGGGTCGACGCCTAGATGATGGCCCAGTGCATCCACGTAGTCCGGTTCCATATCTTCAAGGATGAAGAGCCGCTTGTGTCTCTCTTCACGGCTCTTATTGGCTGGCTTCTCCTTAAGGTACTCTCGGAGCGCAGCAGCGCTTTTAAAGCCACCTTTTTCCACCTCCACGACGCTTTTGGCCTTGAACTCCAAGCAATAGCATCGGCCCGGCGTACGTTGATGCTCTTTCTCGTAGTGTTGTCTGACAGCCTGACGGCCGGCTTCTCCCTCATTTGCTAGCTTTTCTAAGAAGGACTTGAGCGCTGGAAACGCATCCTCCAGCGTGTCGAGACATTGCAGATAAGGCTTTCCTTCGAAGCGGGGAGGAGGACTGGTACGTTGTCCGTTTTGTGCCGATGAGTCGGTCATTACGATAGGATCTTTGGAGAAATCCATCTTGATAGCCGGAAAATAACACAATGGAAACTGACAAATACTTATAGCGGGCCAAAAGAGCAGGCTGAGAAAGAGGACTTGCGCGATCAGCTCCTTTTCTTGACCGGATGCTGACAGGATATAAAGGCACAGTTCAGCGCTGCCTTCGAACCCCCTCGCGCATGGTGGCTTATCTACCAGTGCTCTTAAATTAAATGCACACTCTCAGTTATGCGATTATTTCGTCATTTTCCGCAGAAGTCCAACGCGGCTGAGGATGCTGCGCCCGCTGCCCAGGTGTGGCTGCCTGAGCTGATACTGTAACCCCGCATAGACCCAGCCGCACTTCCACATGATACCGGAAGCAAAGATATTCTTCAACGACATTGACCTTTCCGTCGCAACTCCCCTTTCTCGAACTAAATCCCAATCTCAAGTGGGTTATCATGGCGACTTCAAGTTCGTTTTCCCCGTCAGGTACCCTGGCGGATGACCCAGTCTCGCAGCCGCGGAGTATAGCACAGCCTTCTCCCACCGATTTCTACAAACATGAATCACTCGATCACTCGCTGCCTTCCATAAGGCTGCTAAAGATATCGCCAATTTTGTCAGCCGAAGGCCTTATCCAGTGTTCTATGTTGCATACGACCATAGAACATGCGCCCTATCGTTGCCTATCGTACGCGTGGGGTCAACCTGAACCCAAGCAGCTTGTGTTGATAGATGGGAAACAATTCTACGTCCAACCGAATCTCTTCGAGTTCCTGAAAGTTACCAGAGCCGATACTGAACGTACAGCTTATACATATTGGGTCGACGCTATCTGCATCGATCAAAACAACACGGCTGAGCGCAACCACCAAGTCATGCAGATGGGTAGGATCTACTCTGGAGCCGAAACGGTTATCGCATGGCTGGGACTCGCGTCTGCAGAGACGGTTCTAGCTTATCATACAGAACTACAGCCGAGGCTGGATGCTGATTCTTGGGAGACACGAAGTCGCGCGCGCAAAGCAAGAAGAGCAGTATCCAGGGATTTACTCTGGAACGACTATTGGAACCGAGCATGGATCACGCAAGAACTCAAACTGGCGCGCTGCATTGTAGTTGCAATCGGGTCATTAACGATTGCAATCATTGAACTTCAAAGCATGATCCGTGGCCTGCCATCGGGTACGTTTGAAGCTACCGATCAAGTTTTCGCCCTTACTAGCAGTCACAAAGTCATTGGCAGCCCTCTAGCAAGCCTTCTGTTAACGTTTCGTAACAAGAGATGCAGTGTTGTCAGAGATAGGATCTTCTCATTACTTGCACTGTGCTCTGAGACAAATGCTATTAAGGTCGACTACGGCTGCTCGGTTTTTGATCTGGTATATTCTATCGCGAAGAGTAATGAGCGTACTCTCTGCGCTTGTTCCACTCTTGTTGTTATGCAAAGTCTTGCGCCTGAAATCGACGAACTTCCGCCCGACAGCGATTGCCGATCCAAGAAGGGACCGTATGTTGAGATCGAGGCAAATGGAGCTGATTGGGTACACATTAGGGACCAGAACAAATGCGCTGTTCTTGACTATATCTGTTCCCATGTTTTGGTGACGGAGACGAGGTTTGTGTATGGTGCAACCTCCTGTGGGCGAAAGCATGTCATAGCGCCTAGAACATCGCCGCTCGCGAAGGCCAACGCGTACTCCGCTTATCCGATAGAGCCAAAGAGCGGGCCATTCCCTGGCAGAAGCTTTGCTGCAATCGGCCCAGGGTGTGCACGCATCAGGATCTCTCTTTGGTATCTCTTTGATTTGTACAGTAAGGAGCAGCACCTGCGTATGATAAGCAGTCATATCTGTTCGAGGTCAACGACTGGAACTAAGGATTCGACGACCTCAGTCCGTGTGGGTTATGGCAACTGGGACATCAACGCTTCCGTGTCGCCACCAGAAGGGCCAGGGTACTAAAGACGGACATGACAAGTCATCGTTGGTGACAACACGAAGAAGAACTTTTGAATATGAGTTTCTGTTTGGATGAGTGTGTGGTGAAGTCGCGGTGAAGTCGCTTTATCACATTGTCTCATGTCACGCAGCGAAGAATAGTGTCAATCCTCCTAGATACCAGACTAGAGCACTAATGTGAGCCCTTGCAAATACACTTCCTTACTCCAAACTTTTAAGTATCGCAGGCAAAACCTCCACCTCGGTGAAATCCCAAATGGTGCTCGAACTCCCCGAAGCCCAGTTCGCGCCTGTCCAAAACGTGTTCGTCATGCCTTGCAGAGCCACGAAACGCTTGTAAAAGCCGTTCTTGATCTCATCGACCGAGACGCTCAAGGCGAAGGGCGAGTGGTTATTGCTAGCCTTTATCGTCGTAGATTGATTGGCAGGGGGCAGATCAAGCGCATCGCGAATCCTCTGGACCGTGGCGAGAATATCAGAGGTGAAGAAGTCGTCCGAGGCTTCCGTGGGGGTGGAGTATTGCACTGAATAGAGGTTGTCGATTTCGGCGGTGAAATAGTATGCGCCTGGCAGCCCGGGGATGCCGAAGGCGGCTTTTGCGTCGTAGTTGTAGAGAGAGACGCCCTGTGGGAAGCCAGTGTTGGCCACGACTGCGTTCCAGTAACCGCTGCTGTTGAAGCGAGAGAAAATCTTTTTTTCTTCCGTGTTCAGGTCCAGGAACTGGTCGAGGAGGGCGATCTGAGGGGGGATGGTCATGAGAAGTTTCTTTGCGCGAATGGTTTGGGTGCCCGATGGGGTCTGCGCGACCAGAGTGACGCATGACGGACTGCGTGTGATGGATGTGATGTTGGCGCATTTCACGACAGAGCTATTGCCCATCCCGAGTTTCTGTTCTGCGGCATCCCAGAGCGCCTGCTGGTTGTGGTTTGCTTGCGAGACTTTGGTCTTGTCTTTGCGTGCTGAGACTTGCATGGGATTGAAGAGCTTCATCACGTAGAGGGTAGGCTGGGCTAGGATGTTGCCCATGCCTTGGAATTGCAAGAAGCCATCATATGCCAGCGCGCCCAGGTCGTATTTCCGCAGGAAGTCGCCCCAAGGCATTAATAGGTCCTCCGGAACGGGATCAGGGAGGTGGTATCCACGGAAGAAATCGTCTGGGTACTGCGTGAGAAGAGCCTCGTATTTGTCCAGCGCTACAGCAGAGGCGTTGGCGTCAACGATGGGCCATGATGGCCCAACGACCGAATTCCGGAAGTCAACTGCCTTGGGCTGGCCACCGGGCTTGAAAGGAGCGAGAGGAATGTTGAGGGAGTCGAACAGGTGTCGAACGGTGGTGGTATTGACGAGGACTTGTGTGCCGTAATCGAAAGTCTTGCCGGTCGCCGTATCCTTGTAGGTGTTGGTGTGTCCACCCAGCCGGCACTCTTTCTCAACGAGCGCAACCGATTTTCCAGACTGCTGCAGCCGGATGGCAGCGTGAGTGCCACTGGAGCCTCCACCGACCACGAGCACGTCGTAATCGTATTCATTGGCGGTAGCCAATGAAAGGAGACCGGGCGCCACAGTCAATAAACCTAGCCGCTGTAATTGTACCATGGTGGCAGAGGGTCTTGGGGAAGAAATCGAGAGGGATGTGGTGCGGGAAAGAAAAACGGTGTGACTTTGGTACAAGCGATCAGAGGTCTTAGATGAAGCGGACCGAAGACGGGACGACGGCGCTATTCATCTAGTGTCGGCGAATATGTTTGTCGCCTCTATGATGGCCTCGGGGTATACAACAAGAGAGCTAAATTCTAGGTTTGACTAATAGTCTTGTTACTACATCAGCGGCTGCCCTGCTCACCGCTTCCTCATTTGTAGCCAACGCCTACGCGAATGCGATTTCGCCTCGACCTACGGGAAATCTATCACCCTCATGATGCAACACTTCAGGAGCGGAAACATTTATCCAATGGGCTGAATGCTGAATTCTACACCCATAGGGCCAGCAAAAGACGAGCGAGTTCTGAGGCGCGTTCGCGCGGGTAGCATGGGACTTGCTTACGCGTCATTAGCCGGTTTTGAGTACGGAATGAAGGAAGCTGCATCAACATGGTTGGTGTATCGAGATGAAGTCGCGGGTTGTAGCTGCCATAGAGGAGGCTGGAGACTAGGCGACGTGACGCGCTGAGATACGATGTTGGGAGTGGGTCGAGTAGCGGGCTACTCGACTCGCCTTACCAGCCTCGTGGGGCTAGCCGCAAGACCCACTTCCATCACTCTAGTCCGGTGCCTGCAAGAAGTCGCAATAGACGCTGCCGACGTCTTCTCGTGATCGCACTTGAACCCAAAAGTGACGTCCCTGGTAATGCTTCTTGACAATTCCTCACGAGCTCGATGCAGGATACATCAGTTATCGAATCTTCACGACCGTAGTGAAATGGATGACTCCATGGAAACGTCAAGGCTGAGGTTACGGCAATAATCAACGTAGTAAGCAAAGCCCCAGATTGTTTCCCTCCATGGGGTTTGTTTTGGGTGAATTGAGTGTAGTAATACCGCTTTGCCATATTCTTCTGTCCTCCCATATCAGGAACGAAGAATGAGTCTATAAATGCAAAGACACTCGAAACCAAGGATAATGCCTATGATGATAAAGAGGGATAGGGGTATACCAAAAACGCCGATAACGGAAAGATCCTAATCCCAAGAGTCTGCGGTGCGCCGAGTGTATCTACCAGTGGGATATGCAAAAGTCGATGTCATCGATATAACCACAAAGCTACTCCTGCAACTGGTGCGTGGGGCAAGCACCCCGGCCTTTCTTGTCCCACCACTCCTTGATACAAGTCTGAGACACATGTTAGCACCTTAGGCCCATCGTACTGGCAAAAGGAAAGACATACCTCATGGAACTTGCACCAGCAAACCAACCTAGCCATCTTGTCCCCAGATTCAAAGTCTTCCAGACAAATCGTGCACTCGGCCTGTCTGCCCTCTTCATCAACACAATCCTTCTCAGTCGCGACGTACGGAAACATTCCACGCGCAGCATGGCTCATTCGATTTGCGTTACTGGCGCCTTCACCATTACCTGCACTGCTCATACCGCGGGTGCGTTGAGTGGGCAGGCTGGCAGATGTTTGCGGCGTTAATGCGGCTGTTGGGCCTGGAGAAGCGGAGTGTAGGGCGATGCATTCTTCAATGTGCTGGGTGCGGTCTGAATCGTCGTTGTCAGGGCCCTTGGGAGGAAGCTCTTCGCCACAAATGGGACATTCGTCTTCTTCGGGGATTTGGCGGCGAGGCCGGGTTGGCTGGGCATTCTGAGGTTGAAGTGGAGGCGGTACAGGGGTTGATATGGCTTGGCTGAAAGGACTGGTCCCCGAAAAGGATCCGTACCCGAAGTTTACACGATTTTGGGCGTTGCGGGCCCGGTTGTTAGCTACGGTCTGGGAAATGAGAGGTGCGCGGTGATGTGGGTGTTGCTGCTCGATAGCAGATGGCGGGAGAGGTGGCAGCCGCCGCTCTCCCATGTGCGAGCCCGCATGATAGCTCACTCTCCTACTTTGATTGCTCTCATTTGTGGGGTCGCGTATGCCATATGCATGGCTCTGGCCTGCACCGCGTGAAGCATCGTGTACGCTTGACGACGATCTGTGTGCGCGAGGATGTGGGGGTGGTGGAGGTGGGACCTGTGAAGATCGGGGTGGGATGGGCCGAGAGCCATGACCGAGTGAATCGTATCGTGGAGGTGGGCTGAAGTTTGGATCAGGTACACAAGGATTGCATACGCGGACTTCCTCGCCTCCGCCTAGCGCTGGGTTGCGGAACGGGCCGAAAGTTGACATGGCGCTCTCGTCTTCTCCTGTCAAATCGACGAAGTTTGCTATACTTTCAGACGGCGGATGCACGATGAACTGGCGTGGAATAGTAATGCGATGTGGCGAGCATGAAGCGCACACGACTCTCCCGCATTTCCTGTGCTTGTTGTCAGTAAACAGTCCAGACGAACGCAACTTGTAGGTTTCCAAGCAGACGAGGCACATGACCCCAAACGTCCGATGGCTGACACGACTGCGACCATAGGTCTGGCGGTACGTACCTGCAATGATGCCTCCTAAGTAAGAATGTAAAGGGCTTCTTGCACACCGGACACTGTGAGACTTCGTTGTCCGGCTGCCATGGCGGCAGCACAATATCACTTTGTCTCCTCATGGTGCCTGTGTTCGCTTGTGATGTGACGGGCGGAGTGGGAGGTAATGCGCGGACGGAAGCAGGCGACGAGTCCACCAAGATGGGATCCGCACTTGAGTCGCCCGCGCTTTCCGAGTGCATGCGTATGCTCGACGGCCGCCTCATGGGCGAGTCGGCGGTTGTGAGACGTCGCTTGCGGTCTGAGCTGCGGGAGGAGGACGAGTCGGTGCGTTGCGAGGGGCGGTTTGGGAGGGTGTATCGTGACGGGGAAGGGTTCGAGCGAGGTTCGGTGGCGGCAGCGGGGTTGCTATGTGCAGTCGGTGGTTGCTGGTTGGCAGTGGATTCGGTACCGTCTCTCAGGAAGTCCATCCATGTTTCGCGGTCCTGGGCCAGGAAGTGTGATGCGACAACGCCCTGTGAATGATGTCGGGAGTTGCTGCCCATAACAGCCTCGCGTGGCCCGTCTATGTTGCTGCTTGCTCCGTCATATTGACCGCCGTATGCGTGCGAGTGGTGTGAATAGGGTCCACTCGGGCGTTGATTGGCGTTCGGAGGCATTTGGGAGAGCTTGTGACGGATCGATGCGACCGAAAGCGGATGGAGCGAGCCAACAGAGGTCAACTGCGCCCAATTCACGCGCGAGTGAGCAACGGCTTATGTGATGGTGAACGGGAGGGGTGCTCTGCGTAGAGAAGGTCGGCCGGCTCACGGCGACATGCCGCCACTTGCTTGGGCGTCTGCGTCGCGTGTGGGCTTTGGCACTCGGAGCGTGGGTAGCGCTGCTCGTTTCAGTCAGCCTGGAGCCACAGGGCAGCTATCTTTCACCCGCCTATAAGTCGCGCAGCGCTGGGTTGCGGTGTAGAGGCCGGAGGTGGGTGGGTCCTGCGCGTCGGCTCGGCGAGGGGAACTCCAACCACTCTGCTGTATGCGCCGCCCGTGAAGGTGCAAAGTCAGGAAGATAGATCAGAGAAACGTCAGGCGACAAATAGCGCACAACGCGACACGTACTGGTGAGCAGAGAGCCGTGGCTTCTAAGCGTGGTCGGCCAATGTTGGAATGCCTCAGGCGCCACTACGCTGTTATCTTAGCGGTTTCACGCGACCATCTGCGCCGCCACGCCTGCCTTAGCCTTGCAAGGGAACAACGGTGCGTCGCCGCGTCTTCGTCGGCCCTCTTCACGTGTCAAAACTTTGGAGCGTCCATCTGCCATGAATAGTCGTGGATTGACTGAGATTACTATTGTACGTTACTACTCGTGCCTGTGCACTCCGTTCCGCTTATGTATATAGAAAGTATCAAGAAGTATGTAGTGGCCCCGTCTACGCCCAAAAGAGCCCATCGCTCGTGTATCCCAAGCAACGCTATCAAAATCGCTTTTGCACAACTATACAGTAAGGAAACTCGTAAGCGCACCTTCTGCGCCAAGATCAAAATTAAAATGGGAATCTATCAATCCCAATGTGGTATACGGGAAAACAGACATGAATGAAATGACTTTTTCATCTGTGGTAGCTGCGCCCACTGTGTTGTGTGCTGCCACTGCGACTACGGTCCACAATCTCTGCCGAAGCCTCAAGGTGACTTCCCGCGTCATAAACGTCACGTTGGACGCTGTCTTTTGTCACATGGTGCTGGACAACACCAGTGCTGAGAGGACGCTCCGACGTTCCACCAATCGCTGGGGGCGCATTCAGTTCGCTGACACCGTCGTTACGGTATATGCTCGATGCTGCTGATGGCCCAGGCGAGCGCTCTGGTGAAGGTTCGGTGGATCCAAAGGGTAATCGAATGGGAAGGCCTCCAGGTCCGCCCGGTTGCAGGTGCTGACTTCGTCTTTGACTGCTCGGACTCACTGACGTCGGCACGTCTATAACAGTCGACAGCCGGTCTGGGAGGAGAGCAGCTTCCGTCGACTTCGTACGACGTGAGTTCTTGCGCGGTATTGATGGCACGCGACTTGGAGGTCCTGGTGGTTGCGTAACGCGGGAAGCACGCGACCCAATTCTACTGGGCAGCTCGATTCCGCCAAAACTCTCAATGGGTCCCAGAGCCGGTGCAATAGGCGAAATCCGATTGCCTGGATCGTAATTTCGTTCCTCGTCACTCGTGTCTGAGTCGCTATCGGAAGAGTCTCGTCTCCCTCCAGCCAAGGCAGCCGCTGTCGCTACGCCTGACCCTCCTGATGCGTTCCGAGCTCGCGGAGGTGACTCAGGACTGTCCCGATATGGCTCCTGCACGACTGCTGGCGACTCAGCGTCTTCTTCCACGGCCATCATCTGCGGTGGTATTCGTGTACTTCTGACCACTTCAAATCCCTTGCTCTTTTCCTTCTTCCGCCCACCCAATAGGTTCAAGCTCTTGAACCAACCTGTAGCCGACGAGACAGGACTCATTGGATCCGCAGGCCCTGTCTTCAGCTTTCGCGTAGGCTGAGAAGACAAAGCAGGGCCACGAAGTCCATAGTAAAAGTCTGACTCGCGCACGGAATAATCGGTATTGTTGTTGTTCCTTCTATCAAGATTTGGGTCCGAGTCGTCTCGATTCAACCGCAGATAGGCTGGAGCAGGTGTGCCGGAAGTACGCGACGGGCCTTCACCGGCTTTGATAGCTTCAGTGTCCAGATTGTCCGAGTAGGGGGCGTCCACAATGTCTGCACTCCCCAGAGGCGCCTTGCCTGGTGCAGCTGCGGTTAGAGAATCCATAGTATGCTTGCGAGGGCGTGGAGGTCGATAGTATGGATCCGCGGCGTCCATGGTGCCCATCGTTGGTCGGCGAGAGCTCTGGCCAGAAGACCCACCACCTAAGAAAGTGAAGGGCACCGGACCCGATCCTGGAGTTGGACTGACATTTCCGTAGTCGCCCTGACTGAAGCCGTCAAATCCAACACTTGCCCGTTGGCTGTCTCGGTCATAAGGCCCATTCAACAGCACGGCTGAACTGGCAGACATACTTCGAGATCGACTGTTCATGAGCTGTATGTTCTTGTTCTCATCGTGTGACAACATGGCAGCGTTCGAGTTCAGACTACCACGAGTGTTTCGATGAACGTTACGTTTCGACAGTTGTCGCTTTCCAAAGACCGCGGTAAGACCACCTCGCTGGTCCGCACCTACGCCACCAAGTCGGGCAGAAACTTCGATGATTGTCTGAAGAGCGTTCAGGAAGAAGCCGAAGACCAAAACGATAGCGTGTAGTAACAGGATGATGTATCCGATCCAGCCTTTGGGTGCTTCATCCACGTCGAGGGAAGGTACGAAAGCTACCGAAAGAAGGACGCAGATGAGTCGGATTGTGGCGAAGAAGGTATGGTACGCATTCATCGAAGTATTCGACTGGAACGGCCGGAAGGCATGTAGAGTAAGGATCAGAATAACTTCGCATATAGCAAGTATGATGATTTGCGCGATGCCAGACGGTTGAATAGCGCCGATAGCGATGCCACGGATGATAGTGAGCAGGACAGGGATGAAAGAGAATGGAGCGGCATCATCCGAGTAGGTATTGTAGAGTGGTCCATAGGTCAAGACAGTAGGGAGGTCGTCAAACAAATGAGCACGAGGGCGTGTGGTGAAGATAAACCAGAATATCCAGGTAACTGATCCGGCGACGATGATCAGCATGATGACGGCTGAGGAGACGACGGAAGCCGGCGAGCGTGGACCGACTACGAGTTGGAACAGGGATAGCGCTATAATCGGAAGCATGAAGTAGTTGTACACGACACGGATGATGTTGCCGGCGGTGAAAGACCAGTTCTTCCCAGTCAGATCACCATCTTGCGTGTTGGTAATCCAGCGGAAGAGCCAGCGTATAAAGAAGCCGAGCTGGGTAAGCACAATCACACAGGCTATCAGAACGAGTAGGAAGATGGCCATGCACGCCCATATATCACGCTCTCTACTCATCCCAACGTACTGACCCAGGCGGTTCAGGCCGTAGGTTCCGTTAGCAAAGTAGATGCCGTCAACAAGACTCTGGGAGCCGTTGCCTTGACTGACGAAACTCTGATTAAACAGAAGTAACGACCAACTGGCCTGGCTGACGACGGGCTGGAAGTAACCAGGGTAGTTCAGGCTGAGACTTCCTGCCAAGACGATGAACTGGATGTACTGCAAACAATCTCCAAATCCTGGCGTGACCAGCCGCAGCAGGTCCTCATCTCGACCATAGTTACTGGTCCAGCGGAAGATGTTTGACGTTCCCCATGGGCTGCAGGTCGCCGCGAACACGGTTGCAATAGCCACGAGGGCGAGCACGGCAGCCGGAAGGTAGCATATCGCGTCGGATAATTTTTTGCCGAGGTCTGGTGTGATGTTTGCAGAAATGCAGCCGAGAGCCTGTGCATTGTCGTCACCAGAAACGATGCGCAGTGTCGAGGCCCAAGTCGAGAATGCGTACGAGCTACCGAAGTTGTGTGCGACACTGACAGCTGGTAAGGTCCAGAATTCGCTCAAGTTCCCACCGAAGGATGGAGCCACCGGGCAGCTTGTGTTCAGTACGGACTGACAAAACTGGGCGGCGGGCGCGTTGTATGCGTTGTAGGTCAGGACCTTGTTGTTCCAGAACAGAGTAGTGTAGTGCTTGTGGTTCGGAGCGAGGTTCACAATCTTGCCAAACGTCATATTCGGGTCCTTCCAATTGTCGTCGTTCAATGGTGGGTAGTCACCAAGCTGGGCCTGACCCGAGACATTGCCGTATACGGTGACATTAAGAGTGTGATCCGGACTGAAGTCGGCCCAGACGTATTCGGGGGTGAAGCGGAGGTAGGGCGTTTGCTTGCCGTCGGCCAGGTAGACCCGTGTCAGGCAATCTTCAAAGTTTACGAATACGGCGCTTGCGATTGGCAGGAAGGAGGCTATGGCGAGGAAGACGAGAAGGGGGAAGAATGCGCGCAGGGCCGGCAACGTAGATGCTTTCCGTCTCGATCGTGGGGGCGTCTGTGTGGGTCGTATCGAGGGTATCGTGAGCTGTTCGGACTCAGGGAGCCGCAGCGCGTCATCGCGCGAGGTGGTAACGGCCATCATGACGTCCCCCTCTTCATGTTCACCCTCCAGCCTGCGTCTCAACGCGATCGTCTTAAGATGGTGTCGCAAAGATGGGCCGGTGGCGGTCTCCAATGGAATGTGTGGGCGTGGCAGTAGTTTCGTGGGCGGCGTCGGGGGTGCGGTGGGTGAGCGTAGGTCGGAGCAGTCTGTTGTGGAATGCGTTGGGGCACAGCTGAAGAGTGTACTACGGCGAGCGAGGGTAAGCCTGCTGGGAGTGAAACAGGCGTCAGAGGAAGCTGCGCCGATGAGCTGGCAGGGGCGACGGAACCCGGGCGATCAGCAGCGGCAGTGCATGGACAAGAAGACGATAACAAAGCGTCGTATAGCGAGTGTACGAATCGAAGGCGGGTGAGGTTGGAGAGCTGGAGCCGGAAACCCAAAGCGTTGGTAGTGAAACTCCTGAGGCGAATGTTTACGGTGGGGTGCAGCGGATCAGGAAAGCCAGGCCATGGAAGCGCGACCAACAAGGCGCTAGCTTCGTATACGGTGCACACACGCTCCTTCCGTTTCGACTCGAGGTTGGCCGCAGAGAAGGTGCGGGAATGACTGTTTTCCCAGCGCCGCCACGGCTATGATGCTGGCCTTAGCTGGCTGCACTGGCGAACAGGGCGGCATCCATCGCGTTAACAGCCCGTACTATCGCCAGGCATGGGCGCAACGTCATCGTCATGCCACTAGGGGAGCTCTGTGTAAAGGAGAATTAGGGCCTGTTATGCTCAATCGCGATCCGGACGGAGAAGACGCGCATGTCACGGCATGTGATTGGCCCGCAAACACACTTTTAACAACTTCAGAATGCGGAAGTGCCACATCCCTAGCGCTATTGGCAGGACTGAGCAATATCAAGAGTCGACATTTCATCACATGTCCAGTATCAAGGCATGCTTCCCAGTATTACTACACATCGACATCTTTAGGCCAGCTGCCGCCCGTCTTTTGTTGAGGCCACCTGCTGATTAACGCGTTGTTCTTGCCTTAGAGCAGTGGCGCAGCCAGCAGACTAAATTTAGCGTCCTGCCCAGCCGTGTCGATCCAGGTTTCATCCCGCATTCGCAGACCACAATGCGAGTCTTCTGCATTAACATGCCTAATTTTTGAACGCGTAGCTCGGTGCGCTCACGGCTGCTTCTACACGGTGTTTCTTGATTCAGTCAGACTTAAGCCGGCCTCAGCCGGGGTCCGTGGTAAGCATCTGTCTCAAGACGTATTTGACGTGTCTGTATGCTCGTTCACATGTAGTATGTTTGACTATCGTTATCATCATGTATCGAAAGGACCATCTGCGTCAAGAAGTGGACGTCGACCGGCCTCTTTCGCAGCCATCGACTCTTTCCAGAGATTGGAGAGGCTATGGTCTTCATTCACGTGTATGATGATCAATCTTAAAGGCTCATTTGGTTGTTCCTCGAAACCAACGGTCCACACGCAATTCGGTGCAGTTGACTTACCACTATTCGCACCATCAAGGTCAAGCTAGTGACATTGCATCAGATTCCCGACTACGAAGACACAGGTTCACGACAAAGATCCGCAGACCATCTCAGATATGTTGATGCAATGGACGTAGAAATGAGGCGTTTGGTCGTCCAGTTGGGACGCATTTGCTTGGCGCCAAGCACCGTGAACCATCTCGTCATCTTGCAGTTCATCGCGGTTCTCAAACAGTCGTCGTGAGTTCGTGTCCGGCAACACAGAACCACTGTGACGGCTGCTCGGGACACGTCTGAACAGATCCGTACTACCCTACACCTTGGCAATCCCTCGCGTTCCTGTCACCCGGATTTCTTTCAGGCGGCACACCGTCTCAAGCTTCATCTGGCAGGTCCTGCAAATACAACATGCGCGTTCCGTGGAACCCCGCTCCTATCAGCGATATCATCGTCCAAAAAGCACAAGTCCAACGTCTGCCCAGATGCCGGCTCAATAAAAGTCGGTTAAGCCGTGGAAAGCTTCCTTGGCACATGGCTAATGAGGCAGGTGCGTATCTTCAACGTCTTGGCAGTGATTGTGATGCTCCGCTCCGCATAGTGACGCCGCGCCCGATAACCCGGACTACAAATTATGTCCCAGTAGTCCGGCTTGATCTCACAGAAGTCTCTCCTGCACTTCCGACTTCTTGAATCCGTCTCAAGCTGTGCAGAAAAGATGGCCATCAAGAAGGTGCTCGTGGCCGCTGGCCTCTTGCTGGGGTCTGCTAAAGCCATAACAGTCGAGTAAGTCCAGCCTAATGCTTGCGCACATTCATTCTGACGATACTTAGGGGCATGCTTGCTGCACCTCGCAGGAGCACTGGTAACTTGAGCCCCAAGGGAGTGAGTCGACCAGCTTGTCTCTTATGGTGGCTGGATGCTGACTTTGTAGGACCGTGCTTTGTTCTCCGAGACGAAATTCAACTGGACGTCTGAAAAGTCCAGCACTTCTTGGTACTTCATTGACACCGAGTCTGGAAACATCACCAAAGCGCCCTTCGGAAGCGATGCCTCGGAGGTTGTGTGGGTCGGTGACACTGCGGACAGCATTCTCTACCTCAACGCAACCAACGAGGAAATTCCCGGAGGTGTCACTCTGTACACTGCTGATCTCAGTGGCGACTCTTTCGAGCCAACTTTGGTAGCATCTCTACATGCTCCTCTTTCTGGATTGAAGGCTGTCAAAACCGAGTCAGGCATCAACTTTGTTGGCAATTGCCTCTCATACGAAAGCAATGGAACCGCATACAACCCCGAACTTGTCACAGCCCCGAAGAGTCTCGGACAGTTATACGACAGTAACTTTGTAAGGCATTGGGATTACTACATCACTGCCGAGCGTGTTGCTGTCTTCAGCGGAGTTCTGAACGGCGGCAACGGAAGCTACAGCTATGGTGGAGAGCTCAAGAACCTGTTGTACGGCATGAACTACACTGTGACGCGCCCAGAGAGCCCTGTCCAGGGTTCCTCAAGCGACCCGGGTGACTATGATCTGTCTCCCGATGGTAGCATGGTTGCTTTCCGTACCAAATCCCCAGATCTCCCCAAGGCAAACTACACAGCTAGCTACATCTACGTTGCTCCATTTGACGGATCCGCGGTCGCTGTACCAATTAACGGACCTGGCACTACTGCCCCTGAGACAGCTCAGGGTGCATCTGGTGCTCCTGTTTGGTCGCATGACGGCAGCAAGCTGGCATACACACAGCAAGATGGCATCGATTACGAATCAGACAAATACAAGCTGTACGTTGCGGAGATTGATGGTATGAACAGCAAAGTCCGCTCCGTCGCTGAAGACTGGGATTCCAGCCCGACCGGTCTCCAATGGAGTCCTGATGATGTCGATCTTTGGGTCACTTCCGAGTTGCACGCTTCTGTTCGCTTATGGCTTGTTCCCGAAGACGCGCCAGCCGACTTCACACCCGTCAACTTTACCGGTCCTGATACAGTGCTTTCCGACTTCGGTGTTCTACCCGACGGCAGTGCTTTCGTCTCAGCAGCGGCTTCCTGGACCAGCCGGATGTTCTACAAACAATACCCTGGCCAGGACAAGCATGTCCTCTTCACTGCCAACGAAGTTGATCCAGAGCTGGAGGGTCTCAAGCCAGACTCTGTATCGAATTTCTGGGTCACCAACGATGACGGCGACGATATCCAGACCTTTGTCTTCTACCCCACTGACTTTGACCCAAGCAAGAAGTACCCTCTGGCGTTCGTTATCCACGGTGGACCACAATCTACTCAGGGAGACAACTGGAGCGTACGATGGAACTTGAGAACTTGGGCAGATCAGGGCTTCGTTGTTACTGCAACGCAATTCACCGGATCGCCATCTTACAGCCAAGCCTTCACGGATAAGATTCAAGCTAACTGGGGCGGAACTCCTTACACTGATCTCGTCAAGGTCTTTGAGCACCTCCGCGACAATGTCGACTATGTCGATACCGACCGTGCCATTGCCGCCGGCGCATCATTCGGCTGCTACATGACAAACTGGGTGCAAGGCCATGACCTAGGCCGCGAGTTCAAAGCCCTCGTCTGCCACGACGGAAAGATCAACCAAGTCGGTTCCTACGCCACCGAGGAGCTATGGTTCATCCAACGCGACAACAACGGCACAGTCTGGAACGACCGCGCCAACTACGAACTCTGGGATCCTCTTGCCCACTTCGCCAATGCCAGCACCCCCGAGTTCATCATCCACAACGACCTTGATTACCGTGTTGTGCAGGCCGAGGGACTGCAGACGTTCAACATCTTGCAGAGTTTGGGTGTGCCGTCGCGCTTCTTGCATTTCCCCGATGAGGGCCATTGGGTTACAAGCAGGCAGAACAGTCTTCTCTGGCACAAGTCCATCTTCAACTGGATCAGGTACTACGTCGGATTGGAAGAGGAACTTTCGATGGATGGCGTCATCACGCAGTAATTAGTTTCCGAGATTAAATCATATTCTTACCATATGTAAAGAATGCGATGGGAATGCATTTTCCGTTGCCAATGACGTGCCTTCTTGATTGCGCATTATCGTGAGTGCATCTTCAAGAACTAGCTGCTTCCAGTAGGTAGGCGCTTTGGCTAGCTTGGCGGCCACTGCCCCCTGAGTTCTTTCCCCACCATACGAAGGAACCCCCAAGCACCTACCTCCTAGAAGTCCACAATTGGGATCGGTCTTAACGTCGAGTTTTATGCTAATGCAGGCAGCATCGCACCCTTTCATCATTTCCCTTCTATCACGCGCCCGAGGCAATCACATCACCCTCTCTTGCAATCTGGACTCATGAAATCCACCAAACAGCGTCGAATGCTCTTCTGTGTCGGAAGTTGCAAGGCTAGCGGGGGATTTAGAATCTGTGTGCAGGTGTACAGCCACGATGATGACGGCTGACACCCCACCTGCAGCTCCGCCCCAGGCTTCCACGCGGCAAGCTTTAGCATCTTCACTTCGTTGCACTCGAGAAACAAAAGACCGGTACCCTAATACTTTGCTTACAACGCTCAACTATTAGCGCGCTCTTCCAAGCTTGTGCGTGTGATTCGACTCCAAGCCACGCCCCGTCAGGCTGTACTTATCTACTTTCAGCCTCGTCTGCTTCGTGTTTGCGCACCTCGCGCGATCTGTGGCCTCATGACGACTTTACTCGGGACAGAGCACCGTCCTCTTTTCCGGCAGGCGCCGTTGGATCATACACAACCATCAATCCGGCTCATCGAGATCACGCCTAGTCTCTCTGCCGAAGGTCTGATCAGTTGCGTCGTATCGCATGCGACGATTGGGACGGACTATGTGTGTCTGTCCTATCGCTGGGGTGAAGAAAAGCCAGATACTTCAAAGAACATACTCTTGGATGGGAAGTTGTTCACCGTACGCCAGAACCTCTATGACTTTCTTCATCGGGCAAGCACCGAGCCTGAGTGGTCGCAAGTCACGCAAAAGAAGTACTGGATCGATGCTTTGTGCATAAACCAATCAGATGGTGCTGAGCGAAATCATCAGGTTGCTCAGATGGGTCGCATCTTCGCCGACGCGCTGTGCGTTCATGTATGGCTCGGAACTACGCCAATTGTTGAACTACTCAGCGTTGAGCCATGGGAAAGCAACGATTGGTCTCGCCGATGGAAGAAGAGGGAGCTGATCCAGAAGTATGTTGTGCGTAACGAATACTGGAACCGATCTTGGATCATACAAGAGATCAGTCTTGCGCGTAGCGTTATCATATCGCTTGATCTGACAACTCTTCCGCTTTCGGACTTCTACGAGAGAATTCGTCAGCTTTATCTCGACACCAGCAGGACATCTTTCCGGCAGTTTTATGGGCGTGAGCATACGCACTTCAACAACAACAGTCTTCTATTTTTGTTGAACTGGTTTTGGGACAAGCATTGCTCAGTGCCACATGATCGCGTGTTTTCTCTTCTGGGCCTCTGCCAAGAGTCAGATCAGCTTAAAGTCGATTACGATATGCACCGGACAGACCTGGCAGCTCATGTTCTGAAACATCGAAAAGAAGAACTTTGCGTTTGTGAAGCAGCTCTAGTTGCGAAAAGCTTGATGGTGGACGCCCTCGATCCCGATACCATGGAATATACACTCATACGGAGACCAATGCTGTCATTCAGTGGCGAACATATTAAAATAGACAGCCGGGGATGGTTACAGTCTGTACGTTCCGACGCAGATTATATGTATGTAGCATCGCACAGATGCTTCCAAAAACTGATGATGGCATTCGGAGTGCTGTTTCGCCAAAGTAAACTTGGAAAATACATTCAACAGCACAGACGGTCAGAGGTATTGTTCACTGAAGCGGTGCGCGAAGCTGCGACACAAGGCACAGCCCTCCTTTCTTGGGAGAGAGATCCTAACGACACGTCTTACCGTTGGTATATTGATCATGGAGGATGGAGCGTTGGCACATGCGAGCGCGAAGGCGAAACCTGTCGCGTACGGATCGCCTTGAATGCGCTGCAAATGATGTTCTCGAAGAAGACCATATGTAGCTTTCCAGACCCTGGTTCTCGTATTGTTGCGCTGGTCGACGGGGAACTTACATCCATCGGGCCACAACACCCGTTGTTCTCCATGTTCTCCGCTAAAAGAGAGCGTGGTCACTCTAAGACAAGCAGCCTTTTCGATATAGAATGGGGACTGGTCATGGAGGTAGAGCAATCGCCGGAGACTTAGGCACCAGTTAGCACTCAATTTCGCTGGGAAATGGATGCGTTACATGAAACCGTCTTTATACTGGGAATCACATTTGCTAGCTATGCTGAAGCCTTAGGGCTCAAAGCCTCGCCTTCTCCATCCGCGAAGCCGGATGCCTCTCGTCAATTCTCGGCAGCTTATCACTCCACGTCCTGCCATTCCGCATAAACACCCTCCTCCAATCCGTCGGATTCAGTGGCGCCTGATCCCACCTCCTGCCCCTCTTCGCACTGACCTTCGCTCGCTTCTCCTCCGCAATACCACTAGCAGCTGCGACCTTCTTTCCTCTCTCTGCACCAAAGTTGCTAGGGATCGCTTGACTGAACTCCTTCGCACTGACTTCCAGTAGCGCTTCGGTATCGGCTTTGATACGGTCTGCAAGAAGGCAGATAGATGACTCAGCGCAGTGAGCGGCGGCGCGGCGTTGCCAGTATTCTAGGAAACGATATCCGTGACCGAGCATGCCGCACATTGCGCCTGCTGAATGGAGGAAGTGGCCATTGCCGAAGGAATCGCCTGCTACGACTCCGTTTGTCGCAACACGCGCGTCGGTACCGATGCGCTCGACGAGGCTGAAGGGTTTGGGGCCGTAGACCATGGCGACTCGGCGGAGCTCGTCTGGCGAGATTTCCAGGACGAGAGAGGCTTGCGAGATGTAGTAGTCGTAAAGGAGAAGTTGATAGGCTGCGAAGTATTCGGCGGAGTCTTTGCTGGTCTCAGCACCGACAAGTCCGCGTTCGACTGGACATAGCGAGACAAACTCAGGTACCTCGACGATGAGCCAGGAGACCCTTGGGTCGCCTTCGTGACCCACAGCGATCTGCCGTACCCATGATTCATTTCCATGCTTATCAAATTCGGAAGCGATACGACGACGCAACCGTCCATCAACGAGTATATTGAATTGGCCAGCGACGAAATCTGCTTGCGCTACTTTGGCACCTTGACCATCGCCATGGTCAACCTGTACGTCGTGCTGCTGGAAGCCTAGTTGCTCTGCTTCACGGCAGTTGATGCCTGTGGCGACGCTGAACAGCTCTGGAACCCCAAGATCGATAAAGTCGCTTCCTGGCGTGCGGATTCGTTGGAGGTCGTTGTGATATTGAACTTCGGTAACTTCTTCGATCCGAATCTGGACACGGCCGCACGGAAGATGGACTAGACCACTTCCATCCTGTACCACGCGGTGTTTGGTGAAGAGGCGGCATCTGGGCGTCTTGCTAGCGTTGAGATCAATCTTCTCGAGCGCCTCGAGATAGCGGCGGAGAAGAAGCTGGACGGAAAACGCCGCAGCTTGCCATGTCGAAGGCCCGTCGAGGACTTCTCGCATATCAGTACGGATTTTGGTCGGGCACGGGTGCTCCGGGATAGTAGGCGGAGGCACAGTGGTGACAGTGCGATGTGGCTTGCCATTCTTCCAGCGGTCGTCGATGTATTCAATGTTGTGGATTTCGCCGACCATATGGAGTTCCTTCTCGTATCCCTCGATGATAGCTCCGGGTATGATGTCCCTAGATTTGGTCATGGGATGATAGAACAAATCTGCCAGACTAAGCAGTGTTCCATCCAGTCTTTTCGGGAGGTTGTCCAGTCCGTAACGATCCACCATCATCTTGTCGATAAGGCCCAGCTGATGATACATGTCTTCACGAATGTTCCAGTGCACTCCTAGAAACGGGTCGCCACGAAGTTCAACACCGACGGCACGGCGGCCCATAGCTATAGCCCACAGCATCGCCAACATGTTTGCGCCTCCAAGGCCGATTGCAACGAAATCGGCATCTTTGACTCCGGATAGCGTGGTTGAGCGACTGCCACCTGGAACTTTGGTGTTCTGAGTCCGTTCTTGAGCCAGATACTTGGTCGTTGAGTAAAGATTGCTGTTATTGGAAGCCATTGGGGCTAGAATGAATTTCAAGTCGAATTGACAAGTGGGAACAAGACGGGTACAGCACTTCTTCAAGGGACCTGAAAACCAGCATCCCCGCCGAACCATTCCATGCGGGACGGGGCGTTTACGTTGCAGAGGTGACTTACCGTTCTGGTACATCTGCCCCGTCAAGGCCCTGGATGCCTACCATGCTGAGTCTAGGTTCCCCACAGTTGCTAACTCAAGTGGAACTAATACAGTTCGCATCTTACCCGTGAGATAGGCGGCGTGGGGCGGCACGCTGCCACGTATCGTTTATTGGCGCGACGAAATATGTGCCCCTACAAGCGTAAATCCTGCCATGCGTGTCCTGCACGTTGTGTGGTAGTTTCGGTGCGACGGGCCTTTCATAAAGTCACTAATGAAGACCGTTGTGGCATTCCCGACGGAGCTGTTATGGAAGCAACTACATTTGGCCATGTAGTATCGATAGTAGGAATCGAATCGCCTACGGCTGAAAACTTGTGCGGATCCCATAAGTGACAACCAGGTTGCTGTATGACTGTGACGGTGGTTTCTGAACGCCTCCACGAACGCACGACGATAGGGTAACGTGATCTAGAAGCGGGATATCATGAGCTTTGTGCTAACGATGCATGAAGCACATCCGGAGTAAAACCTTCTTTCCCCCTCACAAGGCGGGCTAAGCAAGGCGATATATTTGTGACAGGCGCCGCAATCAGGTGGGTATGTTGCTCATGGTCTGCCACGCCATCTAGAGTGGAGACTGACATCCATGGATGCAGTAAGCGACGCATGCAGCAATCAATGCACCGTGAAGGCGGGGAGTGTGCCGAGGCCAGGAACGATCGAGGGTGCTATCGCGGAAGGAATTTTGTTGATTCGGAAACGGATGTGACAGCGAGCTGTACACAGTATACGGTCGCAACTTGTTCGGGCAGCTGGTAGCAAGGGGACGAAGGATGAAGGGTGACCGGGAGCGACAGAACGGAGGTGTGCCAGGCTTGGCGCTAAAACACGCGTCCGAAGCGCGGAATGCGCTCTTAGCTCGATGGACCCGGCATCGACTGCGACCCCACAATCGAGGTTTAGCTCTTTCAATCGCGCGCCTCGTGTACAATCAGTCGCAACTATGCGTCGCCATGCTTGATAGCGGATTCGACATATGCACTCCTCATCTCCCACGTGGGACACGCCACACGAAGTCGCCACTACTATGCATCCCTCCTACCTCATCCTCTCGGCAACCGCTTAGCGTATCATGTACTCCAACATGCGACCTGACAAGCCCTGGCTAAGCACGAAAATCAGAGGCTATCGCCATTCCGAACGATGTCTTACTCCGGGTTTGTCCCGAGGTTCACTATGATACATAGATGATTGTTCATTCGAGATCAAACGATCTGGACGGTACGAACGCGCACCAGAATGAAGGGTAGTAAAGCTACAGAGTAATCCCGACGACGCATAGCAGACGCAATGTCGAGGTCTCGATTCAAGCTTTACAGTCGTCGACTTCCGAAACTTTTCCGCCATAAATCTGTTGTAACAGATCAGCATCGTGCTCCTCGACCGACGCGTATAATTCCGACCGTCGTCCACGACACACCAAGCTTACCACGCGCCCAACCCTCCACAACTCCGCCGTCATACCTTCCACACTACGAGTACAGTCTTGCAGCACGCTGCTATTTCGCCGAATACACGCGCCGCATGGGTAATGCCACGCCCTTTCTTTTGGGCGATGCGGATTCATATGGACTTAGCAGCTAGGAAGCTAGGGGAATATGGGGACACAAAATATCCAACAAGGCCTTAGTCGGACTTGTAGCCATCGGATTACACAGAGAACATATTGCCTGGCAAGAAGCCCGGGGAAAGCCTTAGCAACACGTTCCGGCGGATACCCATCATAGGTTGGAGCTTGAACGAACACACCTACATTTGACAGGGTCTTCCTTTCTCGTAGTAACACGGCTCAGAGTGTACAAGCGTGCCCTAAAGAGAGAACTTGTCTCGATCTACGAGCGCATGTGTACACGGCATCCATCTCCCGAAGCAACTACCAACGTCAAGGTCTGCTTTTCCCGGCCAGTAGGGACAACAGGGTCATCCTTCGGAACAGTCATGGGAGGGAACATTTGTACCAACCTCGCTACGGTATATCCCACCTCCAGCAGGGCAAACTCTTGACCCAGGCAAACTCGTGGCCCGCCATTGAAGGGAAGATACCCGTAACCCACATCTCGCAACAGTGATCCATCCTCCCACCTCTCAGGGCGGAACTCGAGTGCATCTTCGCCGTAGATGTCTGTACGTCGATGCATAGCGTATACGCAGTAACCGACAGCCTCGCCTTTCCTGACCAATATCGGCGACTTTCCATCTGGGCCTCCTCCAACAGGAAGTGTCGTCGTCTTCAATGCTGCACGAGAGTTGACCGGCACGGATGGGTAGAGGCGAAGTACCTCCTTCAGAATGAGATCAAGATACCTCATCTTCTTCAGATTCACCCGACTTGGCTGAGGCGCATGCTGTCCGAGGCCTACTACTGCCTCTATTTCCGAACGTAACCTTTCCAAGACTTTAGGGTGACGGACCAGCAAGCGCAAGGTCCAGGTGAGGCAGCATGCTGTTGTGTCTCTGCCCGCCAGTAAAACATTGAGACACTGGTCGCGAAGTTCCTTCTTGTTCCGAGTCTCTTGGATGAGCGCGTCGATAAACACATAATGCTTCCTGTCCTCGGCTTCTACTTTATCGGGTTCCGTAGTCTCCGCATTGTCCAGTGCTCTCTGAATCGCGTCGTCAACGAAGCGGTGAGAAGTCTTGCAAGCTTGCCAGAACTCGGGAGTACTCGCAAGCCAGTACAAGTCTCCCAGTCTGCCACGATGCGACAAGTAATCCTGGCCCAGATTAAAGGCTGCTGCAAACTCAGACTCTTGTCCAGCAATGTCGCTGCTTTGCAAAGAGCTCAATGTTTTGCCGAAAAGCAGGAACGTCGTCGTGTCGAAAGTCAAACGAAAGAATAACGGTTGGAGATCAACAACGCTGTCGGGGCGAATTTGATCGATGAGGCTTTCGACCGACTTTTTCATCTCCTCGAAGTTCTGGTAGCGATTGGAAGTGAAATGGGGACGGAGTAACGCCCGCGAGTGTCTCCATGCTGCACCGTCTTGAGTAAAAATCCCGCATCCCAGCAATGGATCAAAATGCTTGGGTCGGAGCCCAAGACTGAAGTCTGCCATAAACGTCAATACCAGCGGTCATCTTAACCATTCAACTTTGACAAACCTTCAAACTGGGTAGAGAGGATTTCTTCGATGTTGCGTGGTTCAACCGTATTGATACCGCGAGCTCCAACTATGCAGTGTCAACGCCGCAGTTTTTTTTAGTTTTTTTGTCTTTGAGGACTCACGTAACTGCTGCTCATGCGTCGGACCGCTAGAGTCTACTACGTCTAAGAAAAACTGTAAAATAGTCTGCGCTCTTGCATGTCGCCCCGCCTTTAGCAGCAGGTCCAAGCCTTGTGGCCATTTTGCTGCCCACCTCCGCGGTGCTTTGCACCCCATCTGCGCGGCATATCGGTCCTCTTCCTGGTGATCATCAGCAGTATTATCTTTCATTTTGTCAACCACGCCTACCTCGCGCTGCATTTGGCGCTTCCAGACCTTATAAACCAGCAGGCTGCAGACGACTAGGCACAATAACATGCTTATAGTCGCCATGTTACTCAGCTCGATGGAAGTGATCAAAAATCGATTGACGATGAGCGTTGCAACCACGGAGCCGATCCGACGCTTTTGCGGCAATGATATTGCCCGCAGATTGAAGTCTGGAAGTCTCAAACACCGAGTATCTTGGCAAACGCTTCAGTTTTGCTTCTGTCGGCTGACTATACATATTTCGGTCAGTGCACGGCACTTGCAACAGCGGTAGGGTGTTGGCCGTTAGGCGCTTTGTCCTGTGGCCTCGCCAGTAAGAAGACGGCGATGAAGCCAACACTAGTGTGTTGGTCAAGCTTGGCTCGTGCCGCGCCCCTTACCGCGATGACTGTACTGTTGCAGGCATCGACAACTGATCATGCATGCTGGTAAATAAAGTGAAGCAGCACAGTACGAGCAGGAGAAGGAGGGGAAAGAATAAGAACACATCGGACAGAACGCACCCATCGTCGATTTACACCAAGTTATCAAGACTCGATCAGAAACCGATTACCTAACTCATATATTAGGCGATCGCTACACGCCCTATGCTGTCTATGTCAGTCCGGTGCGCACCAACGCGCTTATATCGCTATCTTATTCCGCAGGCGCGTGAGTCTTTCTCCTCTTGCTCAAAGGCTCCACAAACATATCCCCTAGTTTATACTCCAACTCTTCTTTCCTGAGAACCCGGAGGTGACCGGCAATATCACTACCCATCTTATCACACGACAAGACCGGGCCTAACCGCCTCTGCGATCTCTCGAACTCCGCTTTTGCCTTCTTTCTCAACATTTCGTAACCTGGTCGCTTCTCCGGATTGATCTGCAGACATTCGGTTACTAGTTGGTGCAAGGCATTGGAATACATTGCATCGTAACCTGGAATGTCTGTCGATGTGAAGGTATTGCCTTCTGCAAATTGGAACGAAGCTTTGATGCAGTCCTCGCATATCTGGTCCGACGTCTCTTTTCCAAGCGTAGTATGCATCAGTTTCCAGATGACCATCCCAAGCGACCAAATATCTGCTTTGGCATTGACAGCATGATCATGTGCTGTCTCTACTATGATTTCTGGAGCCTGGAATCCTTTTGTACCCCAATCTTTCCTACCCTCCAAAGCATCTGTGCTTGGTGAAATCGTCTTGACGACATCGTAGTCAGCAAGGAGAGTTTTTGGGTACGCTAGGTAGGGTTCTTTAGCGGTACTGAGAAAGATGTTCGCTGGTTTGACATCCAAGTGCACCATGCTGCTCGCGAACTTCTTTCTTGGCTTGTTTCCACCTCGCTTTCCTTTCTTTGTCTTTTGTCCCTCCCTTCCGAATTCTGGGCCATTATCTGCTCCTTCTGCCGTCTTGTCTTCGTCCACCGTCTCTCCGCACAACCCCGTGTTCAGGGCACATATGGCGTCGGCCAGCGCATGAAACACCATCCATATAAACTGCTCGGGTATTTGCTTGACCAAATTCTCTTCCTGGTAATAAACTTTGAGAAGTTTGCTCAGATCTCCGTGCTCGGCGTAATCAGAGTACAAGCGATAGTTCAGCGTACCTTCTTGTTGAGAGGCTGCCTCGATGTGATGGCAATGATCACAAAGCTCCAGTTGTCGACTGATATTGTACTCATCTTCGACAAAATTCACCATTTTCTGCGAGCCACAACGTATCCTCTTGCATACCTTCCTCTAGCTGATGTTAGTACTGTTTAGCGACGTAGGAATTGATGAAGACACTAACTTTCAATATCCTACCGGTTTCATCGCAGAGCACGTACAAGCATACCACTGTGCGCATCTCTCTGGACCCACTGAATCTAGTACGAGAGTCCATCAGCGTCTTGCACCATTGCCATACTTGCGTTCCGTTGTCATGTTCTTCGTCGCGGCCTCTTTTCCTGGTCTGGGGAGGTGCTGCTCTACCAGTATCTGCTTCGGTAAGACCGACCCTTGCTATTGCGATCTCGGTATCACTAGGCTCGTAAGCAGACGTTTCTGTCTCATTCGATGGTTCCGGGTTGACAGCCTCAGCAGGTGTCGCTATTCCATGCAACGGTTCTTCTATGCCGCGATCATTGTTTTCTCGGGCTCCCGATTCTGCCTGCATACGGCCTCCATTGATCGCTTCTTGGGGATTTTTCCTAGACGACTCTTCTCCGCTCTCAATCTCGCCATCTGACGCATGACTGACCGCCCCGGATGTGGCACGGTTGATGTATTCCTGTTGCGCCGCGGATGTCATCTTATTCCATACTCGTGAAAGCACACCAGCCTCTTTGATCCCGCCCTTGTATTCTCCGTAGTACAACAGATACCCACGCCGCACATTGTCGTTGGGTAGTTTATTGAACAACTCATTGTGTTTCTGCGACGAGCCGTCAGGTAAAGTCGGTCGATCTGCCATGTGTGTGGTCCATACTTAAATTGCTCAGTACTGAAGGTGGCACTTGCCATCGTCACCAGAACGCAAGTAAGCTTCAGGCAGTATTTAAGTTCCTCCTCCTTGTCTTGTCTTAAGTCGAGTATGTGTCGAACAAAGGCTTTATACTTCATTGTTCGTGGTGTGTTTGCGGCCACACCCACATGATGAGCTTTGAGTAGATAGATACATCCTGCAGACCTGAATCATATTAGACCATGTATATAGAACTTATTGATGAAAATGGGTGGATTAGATAATGATTTTCATGATATCACCGCCAAAGATGTTTGGTATCGGTCGTTTGCAATCAGGTAAAAATGTCCAGCAGGTAAAAGCCTTGTACACCTAGTTTCTGTAGTATGGGTGACACATCAATACGCTGTAGTCAAGGTTTGTATCTCGAGTGAGCAGGAAATCGATATCTGCATCCAAAATGTCTTGGGTTGCCTCGCGTGGGAGTGATGGCTGCCCAGGTGCTGCATCGGTCTCCTCGCACACCGATTGATCCTGGGCCTTCACTTAATTGAGAGAGCGTTGCGGCCGATACGTTTTGGAACATTACATCAAAAGCTAGTTCAAAATGAGTTCCAGACTATCTATGGTGACGTAACACTCATAATTGATATGGAAGGCACCTTCCTCAAGGTTGAGCTATGCTCCCCAACACAGCAAGCGCCCCCCACCTCCAATTTCCCTACGCTAATCTCTCTCTCTCTTTCGCCTATACTTCTGAATATTTGGAAGCAAGGCGCGAAAGTTCTTTCGTCAATCAGTGCGGTCGCAACGTTGCTGCGCAGTATTGCCAACGTCGCTCTTTCCATTCGACGAAGATCTCGGTCGAGCCCCATCACTCCTACCCATCACACCCAGTCATGGCGCAAGAGCAGATCAAGAACACGCGACAGCGACCTCTATCAGGCCCAGTGATTCCTTCGCAACACCGACCATTCGTCGGACCTACCCCAAATATGTTGCCGTCCAATCTTCCAGTCAGGTCCGAACGAAATGCAACGGGCGGCCAGGCCTTCCTGCCTCCCGTGGCACCACCTCACTGGCCTTCTTTTCCGCATCTCAATTATCCATTCGAAAATCCATATCCTGATCTAACAGTGCGACGCCGGCAACACCCACTTCCGTTCAGCATGTCGCGCAATGAACATAACGTCGACCCAAACACTGGCGCAAGAAGCATCGATCTAAAACAGCCGGCGACACCAATGCAAGGCAGTGGTCATGCAAGCTCCGCTGACCAGCGTCATGACTCTCTGACTAAGGGAGACAACGCTCACGTCTCGCCCGCACCACTTCCAACAGGCTGGAACGGTAGTCGTATTCCATCGAACAACGTTCCGAGGAAGGCGCCGCTGGCAGCTCGCTCTTCAGATGATATCTCACCATTCATAGCGAGAAACATACCGCCAACGAATCAACAGAGATCCACGAGTCAGTCAAAGGCAACTTCCGGCCCCTCACAAGGCAATCGAGTACGCCAGCAAAAGTCCTTCAATACGCCGCCGTTGGGTACCCCTAAGCGAGGAAGGCCGCGACTAGACGATGGAGTTCAGGATAACAACAAAGCTGGTGGGCTGAACAGCCAGGGAGATACTCACATCGGTCAAAAAGCCAGCGCGCAGCCTCCCATCGGTTTGTTTGCGCCTCCGCAGGTATCGTCCGCGATTCCACCGAAACCTGTGAGACCATGCCCGAGGTATGACTACGTCGTACCTTTGGAGTTGGTAGCCACACAAAAAGCCCTTGGTAACTGCTCATTGCTCGAAGCTCTAGGGATCAATCGCTGATAACATTGCTTCTAGGCCCAGACAACTGGAACGAATATGTGCACGTCATGGAGCAGCTCTGGACCGAAGAAATCACCTTTGACGAGTTTGGCGCGCGCACGCAACGGATATTCCAAGTGTTCGATGAGGGCATTCGGAGGAGGTTGAACAATAATGTGGCGATGAAGATGATAGTGCCACGGTTAGAGGAAGAGCGGAAGAGAGGTCAGTCGACTAAGGGTACGGAAGACGTCTAGGTTAAGCTCTACAAGGGCCATCGGGCCCGCGCATCATGGTGAGGTCGTGGACATCGGACTGTGGGAGTCATGCATGCAAGATGCTAGAAAAGTTCAAGGCTATTCTAGAAGTACTCGGTGGTGCGCGCGTACACGATCAATTCCAGGTATTCGCGGCATGGCATTCAAAGAGATGACGACCTCCGCCTTGGCTTATTTCCATTCTCGTGTGCTTGGTTCTTCCTCAGTTTTTCCAACCATAAATCGTCCTCACAACGCTTGCCGCCTATCAACTGCTCATATGTTCCGTTCTCCGTCCAAAGAAGGTCCAAGCCCAGGTATATGCAGAGCAAGTCGCCGTTTGGTACCGTACAGTTGATCTCATCGCGAGACTGCTGCGTCGCTACTTCAAGTTTCAGAAGCGACTTTCGAATAGTCGTGCCACTGATTGTGGGACACGCCGAGGGAGAAGGAGGATTGGCGTTCCCATTGCTAGGAATGAAGATGATGTTCCCGCGTTTGCGAGACAAGCGTGTCCACTGGAGTGTTTTATTAGGGAAGTGACAGCGGGCTAAGATAGTCGCGAGCGGATGCTTTGACGCATTCATGTCTGGTGGTACATACGTTAGCAACCAGACACGGCCGAAAGACACCAGAAAAAAGACTTACTGAACGAGAACGAACCATGATTCTGGACACCTTCGGGGGAGACCTTACGCATCTTTGCACAGGGCCAGCAAGGCCAGCAATCTGGGATTTGCTCCTCTTTCCCTGTCCATTCTGGACTTCCGCTCTTCATCGTTTTCCACTTGTCGCAGCCTTCCAGTTGTAACAATCCAACACCATCGTCAGGAACAAAGTCCATGGGTCGTGTGATATCACTGCCGATGCAAGTATTGTCATCCCCACCCCACAGTCCTTCGACCCCAGTCTTCTGACTGATGTAATCGCCTCCGTACAGTATTAGAAAGGATACCTTGAAGCCATCCGCCTTCGCTAACCGCTTGATAGTGGCCATAAACAGGTCCAACTTGTCGTCATCGTGCGATGGGAATGCCCACGCGAATCTTCCTAGAACATCGTCTTTCCAAAGCTGGCGGCGCTGGTAGTGCGAGAGTATAAACGTTTTACCCTTGTTGTTCGTGACATGATCTTTGGAGGCAAGTAAGTCGTCTCCAAGAGCAAAGATCATGACTGCTATGGTGTTCGCGTCCATGTTGAGATAGGCGTGCCAGAGGAGCGCGATGTGACCTACATGTGGTGGATTGAAAGATCCAGGATAGATTATGATACGGTTATCGCGGTCGCGTTGGAGCTCTGGTCCGGGAGATCTGGTGAAGATGCGCGATGAGGAGTCGGGAAGTCCTTGTATGTCGTCGTATGCGTGGCAGATGTGGTCTTCTAGATACTTTCTCTGTACACCATCAGAGCCCATAGCACCTGCAGATGAGTGTTCCTGGATGATCGTGTTAGCCAAGGAAGGCTGAAGATTACTCTTGCCTAGTTGAGGGTTCGCCATTCTCGACCTACTGCATACAAGGCGCGGTTGCTCTCGAAACAAAAGCCCTACACTGGAAGGCGCTCATAGTGAGAGCTCTTAAGGTCTGTGCATTGTCGCACATAGTGCTGTCAGTATTCACTGGCGATGTTTGTGGTAACACTCGAGGTGAAGCAGCCTCCGGTACTATCCCGTGTTGCAATGGCCGATGTTATGTATACTTTACCATGAGAACAGTATTTAAGGCCCCGAGTAAGATGTTGACATGAATTTCATACTTGGGAGACGATACCCTGCTTGAGTGTTCGAGATTTGCGGAGTCTGATGGATACAAGAGCTTGTTGACAATGCCACATAACGACCAGGAGCTACGATGCACACCATGATCCGGACTGTTGGTCGAACTCGATCCTCGGGTTACGGTCAACAGAAGTACTGTTGTTGTTTGTCTATCCAGCGGCCTTGTGATCAACTAAAATTACATGTGTTATGCCCTCCGTTTGCGCATATTCCTATATCAGCCGTTTCCTACTACCGCCAGGACGGGCAAAGAGCGGGCTTAAGGGTAGTACCAATCTGCGCGCGGCTTATTGAAGTGTTCGTTCTCGATCCCGCACCGCATGGTCGAGGTCTGGAGCATGCAGATAGAGCTTTGGGAAGGCGACAGTTTGAAAGATTGCATTTAGAGCATTGTCGGTCATGTCCGAAATCGATAACGCAGCGTTGCGGCTAGCGGGAACTAGTAGGGCATCGGAGTAACTTTCGATGAGGCTCGAGTGTGATTAGTGAAAAAATGCTGCTTAGTTGTCCAAAGTGGGCAATCCGGAGGCTGTGGAGTATGACGGCTCCATGGTGTGGGGTATCGGACGATGTCTAGCGTTGCAATAGACCGAGGCCCACTTCCACGAGAGCCTCATGGGTTCGAGACACGAAGTGCATATCGCGCCTATGTAGTGCGAGGATGGTTAACAGACGCTGGAAAGACTAGCGATCTGTGAATATGTGTGATTCTATGCGCTAAGAAAAGACCGGGAAAATGAGTTTACCATTTGCGACCCCGTGCCACAGCCGGTAGCCGCGAGTTGCTTCTGCTCGCGAGACGATACCTGGCCCCTCTGTTTGCGGTAACCGCACCGGCATGCTCGTCGGCCGCGCATTCCATCTTCTTTGTCTTGCGCATGCGCATGCATGTCGAAGTTGCGACACGGGCACGTGAGCAATGTTTCTGTGGTCTGTGTGTTGACCCGCTGAATCCTGGAGAGACCTGGAGAAAATTTTGGAGTAGTCTCCACAAGAACGCGTCGCTACGAATGAGACGTAAGCCCACAATTCTGACAGTTGGGCCGGGCTCGATGTCGTCCCAAGCTTTGGCGAGGGCTTGGATTGTTGGGACAAGGAAACTCAAGGTGCCCAAGACATCGCCGCGCGTACGCTATCGAGTTCGTTGGTCTCGTCGAGGCTTGCCACCGACGTCGTCCATTGGTTGAGGCGACAATGCGATGGACCTGCTACATTTTCTGGACTTGTCGAACACGTCTCCAGATAGATTGCAGTCGTGATCCTGGCGGAGATTGGGATGGGCTGACATTTATGAGAAGGAAACAACGGGAAGGACCTTTGGCGGCAGTACAATGGCGCCTTGCTCCCTGCCTCGGTGGTCGCGCCAACATGTGCCGGTATGCAGGCGGCTGGCGGGAAGGGCAACATGGGCGCCGATCGGAGCTGGGCAGCGTCAGCTTAACAAGCCGCACACCTCGATCGCACCAAGCACATGCAACGTGAAGCCTTGCACTGATCACGGGGACACCACGAGTACGGGATACCTGCCGCGCTACTGTGACGGCGATTGCGCCTCGTGCGCCGTGCGACGCAAGATACACCGGTAAACATGTAAGGGTGAGCTGCCTTCACCAACCTCCAGTATGGAGCGGCTGGCGTGACGGTTGCTCGGAAGACAGCCGAGCAATGTAACGCGGTGGCTTGAGCTAGCGGAATCACATGGGGTCGAGAATGCGGAGGGTGAGGTCATAGACGTCGGCCTGCGCGAAGCTTTGGGGTGAGGGCCAAGCCCCAGGCCTTAAGCGTGGCTAAGATAGCCGCAGCACGCTTGGGGAGGCTTACTCCATGGGGAGAGAGGGAGTGGGGATCCTCATGAACGATAGCGCTAGCGCGTGAAACCCCCTCCTCCAAGGCTGTTTCTCAATGGCTGACGCGAGCCAGGATCCCGGGGTGCTCGACCGTCGCGACGGTGGTGCCAGTGAAAGAGAATCTGGAAAAACCCAGGTGCCTGTCGGAAACCTCTTACAGCTGGCGTGCGCCGTTGAGGCTCCACTTTTAGGCCTCCCTCTCACTCCGAACTCCCCCAGGTATAAGATCGACTGCTCATCTCCCCCGCCATTTCTCTCTACCTCCACTGCTCTCCGCAACTCCTTGCAATTTGTCTTACTAACGTCGGAGCCTGCGAGACATCCACCTCACCATGGACGCAAAGGACACTGGCGTCAGCCACATTCCTGACAAGGAAGTAGCCTACTCTGCTGAGAAGGAAGCTGCCTACGACCCGGCCAACGAGAAGGAGCCTCACTACACGCCCACCGCAGAGCACATCGCTGATACAGGCGCCCGCCGCGAATCTGTCGCCCACAACATCATCGAGAACCCTCTAACCCGCCAGTCAAAGGCCGAGTGTGTCAGCGCTGCTGAGCGATGGGCTGCCACCCATGGCTTGGATGAGCACGCCGCCCTCTTCGGGAAGGCCGCCCTTATCGCGCGCGATCCTGAGCGCTTCGAAATGCTCACCGACCTTACCCAGGAAGAGCGCGATGCTCTCATCTACGAGCGCGACCACAAGTGGTTCGGTCCCACCATGATGTGGTACTCGATTGGTCTGTGTGCCATTGGAGCCGCCACTCAGGGCTGGGACCAGACTGGATCCAACGGAGCCAACTTGTCCTTCCCTGAAGAATTCGGTCTTCTCGGATCGGACAGGGGCGAATGGATCATCGGACTTATCAACTCCATCATCTTCTTGACTGCTGGTCTCATCGGCGCTTTTATCGTCGACCCCCTCAACAAGTACCTCGGTCGTCGTGGAGAAATCTTCCTCACCGCTATCTGCCTGACTGCCACCCCCATCGGTTCCGCTTGTGCGCAATCATGGCAAGGGCTCTTTGCTGCGCGCTTCATCATGGGAATTGGAATCGGTGCAAAGAACGCCACTGTCCCGATTTACTCTGCTGAGATTGCACCTCACCGAATTCGCGGTGCCCTGGTCATGTTCTGGCAGTTGTGGGTTGTCATTGGTAAGTTGTACCATCCGCGTTGTCGACGATATGTTATTAACCCCTATTCACAGGTATCTTCCTCGGTTTCTGCGCCAATGTCATCGTCAAGGACACTGGAGCTATCTCATGGCGTCTACAACTCGGTTCTGCTTTCATCCCATCCTTTATCCTCATGATTGGCATCTTCTTTTGCCCAGAGTAAGTGAAATTCATCACGCTCAATCATATCAAGCATATACTGATAAACACTTTTAGGTCTCCTCGTTGGTTGATGAAGCATGGCCACATTGCCAAAGGCTACCGATCAATGGCCAGACTGCGCGCACACCCCATCATTGCTGCTCGCGACTACTACTACTCATACGTCATCTATGAGACTGAGCTAGCCGTTGCACGTGGAGCTGGCTACTTCGACCGCATGTGGGACTGCTTCCGCGTGCCTCGAATTAGGCGTGCCAATTACGGTGCTTCGACTGTCATGATTGCCCAACAGATGTGTGGTATCAACATCATCTCATTCTACAGCTCGACCATTTTCACCCAGGTCGGCTTTACCGATGACCAGGCTTTGTACGCCTCTCTGGGCTACGGAGCTCTTCAGGTCGTCTCCACTATTCCTACTCTGTTCCTCATCGACACCAAGGGACGAAGGACCCTTTGCATGTGGGCAAGTACTTCCCAACCTTTGCGCGACTAATCTTGTGCTGACTGTGTGCTAGACCTTCCCCTTCATGTGCATCTTTCTACTGGCTGGCGGTTTATCCCTCCTTAACCACAGTGGTAGTCAAGCCGCTCAACTCGGACCGATCGTCTTATTCATCTACCTCTTCACGATCATGTACTCGCTCGGAGAAGGGCCAGTCGCATTCCAGTATTCTGCTGAGGTTTTCCCTACCATTCAGCGTGAGCAGGGCATGGCCTGGGCAGTGTGCATCAACAACACCTTCGCTGGAGTCTTGTCGCTCACCTTCCCTCGTATGGTGTCAGTCATGACGCAGACCGGCGCCTTCGGATTCTACGCCGGCCTCAACTTGATCGCCTGGTTTATGATCTTCTGTTTCGTCCGAGAGACCAAGCAGCTCACGCTTGAAGAACTGGACCAGGTCTTCAGTGTGCCCACCAAGCAGTACCTCCACTACGAGATCACCCAGTCGGTCCCTTACTTCATCAACAAGACGGTTCTCCGCCGAAATGTCCCCAAGCCCCCTCCGATTATCGAGAAAGGCTACGCTACTGGCGCTGTCCCGACTGCGTAAATCCGGATCCAAACTAGTCAGATCATTTGAAGGTCCAGTTCTACTTAGCATAGGACTATGTAATGCGTTCGTTAGTGTAAATAGCACACGAAGCTCTCTGAGCGAGTAATGAATACCCCAGCGTGAGATGCTCACACGCTTAAACTAATTCATGTGTAATGCTGTCATGTGATTCCTCTCCTCTGCGCTTAACAAAGATACATTTTGGGGTATGAACTAATTGTCCAGTGGAACGCGGAGAACTCCCTACACATCGGTACGCTACGTAGTCTGCCTGTCACACCCAAACAACGCCATCCGCTAGAGATCGCTCCTCCCGTACGCGTCTACTGAAAGTGGGGCCTCACATGGGAAGCTTCAGCATTGACCACCCATGCCGACCTTGGCCAGTGCGGAGAGTCACATCTCACGTCTTATCACCTTTGCAACTCCTCGCATGCCACACATGCTCCTTTCGCGACTTAGAAGCTGAGCACTTTGCTTTCATGATACCTCTCGCTACATCATGAGCTCACACGGCATCGCAGACCAAGCGGGTGTTGGGTGGAAGAAAGGCAATGACGTTCGGATGACACCTTGGAATGGAAGGACCAATCGGTGATTGATCGTTCACAAACACACCACCAGCCTTGTCGTCCTGCTTCAAAGATGTAAGAGGTGATGCGAAATAGCGGACATACTCCTTCTCGTCAGCCACCATCTGCATCAACTTAAGCTACAATAGTTGGTCCAAGCTCGGACCTCAGCTACAACAAGAATGATGAACAAAGTCTTGTTCTCTGCGACGGGCAACAAAGGAACAAACACCCGCGAGCGATACCGGAGGCTCGAGGTTATACAGTCCCCCACCGCATGGTCGCGGTTGCAACAAGGGACCTATATGCCGAGAAAAACGGAAACCCTGGATCCAGTGTGACACTTCACACCCGACAACGTGTTACGAGAAGTACTTTTATGACGGTACCCGAGCGATAGAGTCACGACGCACGGCTTCCCGCCGTGCTCGATCACATGGCACCACGCACGAAGAGCAGCTGGTGGACATGGCATATCAACGTAGGCTTGACTCTTCGAGAGTCGAACGCGGGCTGACTGGTGGCTATATGCGTCGACGGTGAGTCTTCGGGGGTGACTGGGAGGAACTGTGAGTCAATCAGGAGTATATAAAGAGCACATCGACACGGTCGTACTTTCACACCAGTATACTACCTTTCGAAGCTCAGGCAAACTCAACTAAACCACATCGACAACTCTCGACACGCGAATATGAACATACACTACAGCCCCCGATGTCTTCCTCGAAATCGATGGACTTTATTCCATATGAGCTGAGCGACGAGGAAAGTAGGGACTTTGATGACTTGAGAAAGGGGATCGACGACCGGAATAAACAACTTACAAGAGCAGAATGCGGAGAGCTGCCCAAATGGGAGTATCCTTTGGGAATAATTAAAGACGCGCAAGATGCGGCAAAGAAGCACCACGATCTTGTCAGTGGCAGGCTGACCCGGCTTTTCGAATGGCCTACTAAAAAGGAGGCCGATGAAAACTTATTCTACAAAGCTGATCCACCCAACAACACATTCGATCGGAGCAAAGAGTGGTTTAGTGAGCAAGGGTTTCACTCTTTCGAGACCCAATACTCGTTCTCGGACGGGTGGGACAAACAGTCTCTCACGGTGGCAATCTACGTACCGCAGCAGTTACCAATTGATCAAAAGTCGCCCGTCATGTGGATGTTTCATGGTGGCGGGTTTGTAAGCAATCATTCTGGGTGTTTGACATATAGTCAAACATGCTAAAATGTGTACAGTGTACTGGTGCTGCCGACTTTATACCATGGTACTCGCAAACTGCCGTTCAAAGAGCCAAGCAGAAGAACGCCATCATCATAGCACCAAACTACCCTCTCGGACCAGAAGGCAATTACGTCGACATTTACCAAGCGATTTACGATTTCCTCAGGTGGTACAAAGAGGGCGGGTACTTTAAGAAGGTCTGGGACGATACTGATGATAAAACCAAGTCTTGGCAAGAATGGCTATGCCGCGAGGTCGCAAACAAGGGTGGGAAGCTCGCCATCGATAAGGATCAAGTGTATGTTGAAGGTGAAAGTGCAGGCGCACATGCAGCCGTGACTGCGATGTGGCTCAACGCGGCGAAAGACGGAGGACTGAAAATACCCATTCAAGCGGCCCTTTTGCGGTTCCCCATGATTGCGCATTACAAACGCACAGTTAAGGCAGGAGAAAAAGTCCCCTACATGGGTCCAAAGTATTCCCAAGACGATATAAAGGCCAAAGCAGAAGCAGTAGAGGAAGAAATCCTCAAACTCGAGAGAATGGGTATTGTACCAACCTGTACAGGCAGACCACCACCTCGCGGTATGGCCTTTGCGGTCTTCCTATCCGTGCCAGGAAAATGGCAGTCTTTTTTCCAGCGCCAGCACGGAGACTCTACGCTAGACAAAGAGCGACTCCTCGATGAGGACGGCATCATCCGCGAAAGTCTAATGGATGGAATCGAGAGAGCCGAAATATGCGCAAACAGAGTGGATCATGAGCTCCTGCCACCCATCTACATTTATCACGGCCAGAAAGACCCTAACTGTCCCCTTACGAACACTGAGAAGTTCGTTGCGACGCTCCGGAAACCTGAACTCTATGGCGACCGATTCAAGGACACCAAAACGCTTTCCTTGGACGTCGTGAGGCATTTGAACAAGAAGCCAAACTTCGATCAGGCAAAAGGGATACACTATGTAACCGACGACGAGGTGGGTCATGGTTTCGACTACGACCTCGATGAAAAGGATGAGCCGTTCTTAAAGAAGACTTACGACTGGGTGGGTAGGTTTTGGGGCCTCAGAAGTGAGAATATCCCATTATGACGACTGGAGCGTGGTAATGGTAGTGCGTGTTAGCCTGTCGACATTCTATAATACGATCATCACTTCATCATCGATCGTGCTCTTCAATTTTCCATTTAGTAAGATGTTCTACGTATGTAAAGCTCCATAGCTCTTAACTAAGGGGACGCCACGGCCCCTCTAGATACCGAGAGATGTCTGATCATGCCTTTCCCTTGCCACGCTTGGTTTCTAAATCCTCGGTGTCCCATGAATGAATGAAAGCCAGTCCGATCGCCTATTCCCTTCGTGCCCCCGCACTAACCATACAAAGTGCCCTTGGTGCGCTCACTAAACTGTGTCTCGTTGTGGAGATGCTGGGTAACATCCATGGTAGTAGTGATATGCTCCCGACTAAGCTTCTCTTCCTTGCGACTAGCCAACAACCTAGCAATCTTGAGGATATTCTTAATCTGCCGTCCATTCAGATCCATACGCGCCAGCTCCGTAAGCTCAACCTTGGAAATGGTGTGTTCCTGCGACGACGAATCGAGGAAGTTCTTCCAGACCGTCTTACGCGAGTCTATGGTGAGACCGGGGTAGTCGAGCGAGATGTGGATGCGAGATTGGAAGGCCGGATCAAAGGTCTGGACGCGGTTGGTTGTGAGGAACATGGTGCCTTCGTAGTACTCTAGGACGCGAAGAAAGATAGAAACGAGTTTGTTGCGCTCGAGCTCGTGGAGGGAGCGCTGCTCCAAGAAGACGTCGGCTTCGTCGAGGAGGAGGACCGCGTTCCAGCGGCTGCACATTTCGAGAATGTCTTGCAATTTGGTCTCTACCTTCCTAGGATCGAAGCCAAGATCGCCGGCGCTCATCATGTAGAGAGGCACCTTCATTTCTTCGGCAACTGACTCGCTAGTGAGAGTCTTACCCACGCCGGGTGGGCCGCAGAGTAGGATAATCATGCCTTTGCCTTTACCTTCGATCACGTCGTCAAACGTATCGCGGAACTTCCGTTGAGACTCCGTGAAGCCCAAGATAAGCTCTTTCTGGTTCTTTGGGAGCACCAACCTATCGAAAGCGTCGTCTTGCCACTCAATGTCTTTAACGCAGTTTACGAAGAAGTTCAGCCAAAGCTTGTTCTTCAAGCTGTAACCACGAAGTAGAGGTGTGCAGATGAGCTTCTGTTCAGTTGTCAAGGGCACGTGTTTGGTTGCATCATCCTCGTCGGCAAATGCGCCATCCAATGGCATGCCACTGTCGTCTTCGTCTTCGTACTCATCCTGGCACTCGTCAATCTCTTCCTCGTCGTACTGCCCCGGAATAGGCGGGATTGGTGGCGGGCTAGGATCTTTCTGGTTCAGTGGCGTTACAAAGACCGAATGAGTGGGGTCGAAACGGTTCCAGCCGTAAGTATCGATGATTATCCGACCCTTCACGTTGTACTTGTCTTTGTTTCCGAACCCACCCTGCCTCCATGCGACACCCTGGTATGCCCTATAGTTTGGACCAGCGAGAGTTTCCGCTTTGGCACCCCGTTCGATGAGGCGCGTACGGATAGCTTCGCCCTCGGGATGGAACTCGATGGGGTAGACACGCAGATTGGTGATAGCGCGTGTACCGGTATAGGCGGCGATGGAGAGGTTGATCTTGTTGGAACCGAATTTGGCGCCATCCCAATCGACGTACTTGCAAGTCAGCCAAAAGCAGGGTGCACCCTTGCAATCCTGTCCATAACGCGTCTCGACCAGAATCATGGCCGTCTCTTGACCATCCTGTCGAGCGAAAACAGTCGCCCCAGGTTGATACAGCGTCCAAAGGTGTTCGTATGTCATAACCTTCTTGTTCTTCATGTCCTGGGAGGTATCAATCATGCTCTTGAATTCCTTGGTGAGAATGTCTTGGAGCAACTCAGCGTGGGCTTTCGTCGTGCGCTTATCCTCTGTCTCGTCGCCAAGCTTGGCAATAGCGTCCTGCAACTCAGTCCATCGATGAATCAGTGGCTCAAACTTGCCCTGGAACTCGAGACGGTTGAGGCCGACGGTGACACCCGGGTAGTTCTTCAGTACGCCAGCGAGCAGCTTCTTCAGCAGCGGGCTCTGAACGACAATCGAGTGAATAGACAATACTCGCCGGGGATCGTTGTAAACCT